CTCCGCCTCCTCCTCCTCCTCCTCCGCCTCCTCCTCCTCCTCCTCCGCCTCCTCCTCCTCCTCCTCCGCCTCCTCCTCCTCCTCCTCCGCCTCCTCCTCCTCCTCCTCCGCCTCCTCCTCCTCCTCCTCCGCCTCCTCCTCCTCCTCCTCCGCCTCCTCCTCCTCCTCCTCCGCCTCCTCCTCCTCCTCCTCCGCCTCCTCCTCCTCCTCCTCCGCCTCCTCCTCCTCCTCCTCCGCCTCCTCCTCCTCCTCCTCCGCCTCCTCCTCCTCCTCCTCCTTCTTCTTCTTTTCTTTTTTTTTTTTTTTTTTTTTTAAACAGGGTCTCATGAAGTTGCTCGGGCTGGCCTCAAACTTGGAATCCTCCTGCCTCAGCCTCCTGAGTAGCAGAGATTAAAGGTGTGCAATGTTTAACCTTCCTAAAGCATCACACTTTCTTGTAAAGGCTTTACCCTAAGAAAAACAGAACACCCAGCAGGGCCAAAACAGTCAGTGAGTGCTGCACCACCTTCCCTCACTGGCAGGATGCTACTTAAAGGGCCAGCACTCTCCATCAAGGAAAATCACGCAAATGCTTAAAAGGCTGATTTTAAGAAAATGAATGGAAATATACTTTGCAAATTGTCGTCTGACTGTTAAACTATTGTATTATTCATCCAACTTAGGTAGTTATTAACTATTCAGATATCAAAATCTGTGTCATATAAAAATATTTTAAGCTTTCCAATCACTTTTTAGAACTACGGGAACAATGAATTGTTTTTTTTTCTTTTTATTGAGTTTGTTGGTACATTCTAGGTATACAATACAGTTACATTCGTTACTGGGATCTTGTACTTTTACATGACAGGTCTTGGTTCTCATTTTTTCCTCTTGTCCCTGCCCTCCCTTCAGCCCCTCCACCCTCCCCATTTACAAACACTTTATTTCCATTTTCTCATATTATTTTCTTTTCCCTTATTACCTTTCCCCTACCCTTCCCACTTTCCCTACACCTTTAGCCCTTTTCTTCCTATTTCACACTGTTAATTACCCCAGTAGGATCTTGTGTACTATTATAGCTTTTCACACCAGAGAAACTATTCGGTATTTACACATGTGTGACTTATTTATTTCACTTAAGAGTGTATCCTCAAAATGTATCCATTTTCCTATGAATGAATCTAATTTCTCATTCCTTATGGCTGAGTAGTATTCCATTTTATAGAAAAACCATCTCTTTATCCAGTTTCCAACTGATGGGCAAATGGGCTGTTTCCAAGTTTTAGCTATTACAAACTGTGCTGCTATAAACATAGGTGTGCATATGTCACTGTGATATGATTCTTTTAATTCTTTTGGAAAGATACCCAGCAGAGCTATGGCTGGGTCAAATGGAACCGCTAGTCCCAGCAGTTTGAGGTATCTCCATATTGATTTCCATAGTGGTTGCACCAGTCTGCACTCCCACCAACAATGGAGAAGGGTTCCTTTATGAATTAAGATTTTTATTTCAGAATATTTTCAACCACATTGTAATTAACAAAGAAAAGGTTCAGGGCTGGGTGTGGTGGCACATGCCTGTAATCCCAGCACTCGGGATGCTGAGGCAGGAGGATCACTGTGAGTTCGAGACCACCCTGAGCTACATAGTGAGTTCCAGGTCAGTCTCAACTACATAGTGAGACCCTGTTTCAAAAAACCAAAAAAAAAAAAAAAGAAAGAAAGAAAAAGAAAAACAAAAAGAAAAGGTTCAATGTTTAGTTTTAAACCACAGCAGGGATTAAAGTAAAAATGCAGTTTAAGGGCCAGGGATTTAGCGCAAGGTGCCAAGTTCCATCTCCGGTACCAAATAACATAGTTTGAAGTGTATATCTACATATAAAAATGGAAAAAAATCCGAAATGGGGGCAACATCCTCCCCCCTCCAGCACTGAACATTTCAACTTTTCCAGGAATCATCCCAGAACTGACTCTGGGCTCCCTGCACCAAAATACATTCAACCAGAGAGCAAGAGGCATAAAATCCGGCTTCTAGTCAAGGTAAAAATCTAAACTTTGGTTTGAAAAATGAAAAGCTATTGGGTGAGATAACAAGTCCAACTCTCCAAACAATCAAGATACTTAACTCCACAGACAGATCTTACACAAGAGATGTAGACTGACCACAGGGCACCAGCTTGCCACAATGACTATGGCCAGCAGACGAAATCTGAGACTGAGTTATGGCTCAAATCCAAGGGCCAGGGACAAATGTGAAACAGCCAGAGAGATGACAATGAGGAAAAGCAGGGGTCTGGCATCTTATTCAGCCCCTCACTTCTCCCCAACCACACAGCTTGGGCTGAATCATCAGGATCAGCTAAGGCTCCAGTGCTCCACTCCAGGTGGCCACCACAGGAGTGTGCCTGGAAGGGCAGAGAGAAGGGGACGTCAGGGACACAATTCTTAAGTCTGGGGCACATTGTCAGGGTGGTAATATGTCCCACTTTCAGTCTTTTTTCTAAAGTGGAGCAGGTAAGACCACTCGGAAATTATTCCACTGCTGCTGAACAGTTCATGATTCCTCTTCCTTCCTGTCCACAGCCTAAGCAGCGGGACCCTGGAAATCACCTCTCCCACAGTGGCCATGCAAAGGACCAAAGAGGCCCCAGTAACACAAGTGTCCCCAACAACAGCAAATTGTCACTTGGCCTGCACACATTACCCCATCTGTCCCATGCCATTTGCTGCTGAGAAAATAACACTGCTGCCCACTCTGAAGTGACTTCTTCACAACTGGAATAGGGTTTTCGTTAACTGGTGACAGAAGGTCACAAAGGAAAAGCTACTCCCTGTACAAACATCAATGCAGGGACTGTCTTGTGCCCTGCAGACCAACAGGCCAGGCAAGGAGAGAGCTGAGCGCCCAGGGCGTGGCCAGGGGCAGGCCAGGCTCTAAACTCCAGCTGCCACTGGTCTGGGAGCCTGAGCCCCTGTGGCCAGGCCAGGAATGAACGAGAGTCTAGAGGCAGCCTGCGTGCACTGCAAACCCCCAACGCAACACTCTGGTTCCCCAAGCTTGGCCCTAAAACTCGGGCGTGGGGCTGACACACATTGAAGGAAACCCACCCCAGAGAGCGCTCGCGGAGGGGGACAGGGGCTGGAGGCTGGGCCAAGAACACTGGTCCGCGCCGCGGGAAAAGGCGTTGCATCCTGGATCGGCTGGGGACGCCGGGCCTCGGATGCCCAATTGCCCGTCCAGCAGCTGGCCGTGCTCCCGCCCTCGCTGCTCGCGGTGCTGACCGCACCCAAGT